AGGAGGGAATATCTGTTAAGAAATGGTCTATCATTCTTTTTGAATTGCTTGCTGTTCATCAGTTTGATGCTAGACGCTGCTGCCAAATGTCCTGTGTGTTTTCAAGAGCAATGCGGGTGATTTCAGCAGGTGGCATGCATCCTCCTGAGTCACTGTATAATGCTGCTCGCGTGGCTGCGGGATGTAAAAGGGCAGCACCCTCCTGGAAATGCCATCTTCTTCGCTAGGGCAAAATTGACAACAGGATTTTAACCATTCATTGTTCACTGTAAATCTTTGGGGAAATTTTGCTTATGCTTGGTTCAGATTAATTTTCCAGTTACGATGAATGCTGTGTTTCTGTTGCTTTTTAAAGATTTGTGGGTAGGAGTGCTTTTCTTTGACAGGGCATTTCCATGTAAGAAGAATAGATGTGGAACTTTTACATTGATGGGAATTATCCCCATTTATAAAAATGGAAAAAGTAGACATTGCTTGGACAGTGTGCTGCGGTGGATGGTGTGTTGGACTAGGACACCTGAGTTCCAGTGCCCACTTGATGACAGAAACTCATGACGGGGGCATGTTAGAGACAACTCTTTAAACATGTCACATACGCCAAAATCCCTGTTAGTGTTGCCATAAATCAGAATCAACCTGAAAAGGCATAAGCGCAACAGACCCTTCTTTGGTAGTTAGGAATTTTTAAAGGGGAAAAACCCACTGATGTTCAACAGTAGTACCAATAAAATGGCTTCCCACTTGCCCAAAATTAGATTACTAAAATGATGCAAATTTGGGGTGAGCATGAGTGGAGTTTTCTGTGGAAGGATTCTTAGCCCCATCACTCATGGTGCCTAAAACAAAAGTCTGAGCTCATTGTAAGCAAATGTCTTTTGTCCCAAATCAGGGACAGGCAAATTCCAGAGTCTGTGAGACAGACAGACAGACAGACAGACAGACAGACAGACAGACAGACAGACAGACAGACAGACAGACCTTGGACTTTGGGGGACTGTACCTACTCCTAAACACTGCCCACTGTCCAAATATTTTACTTTGGTAAAAAGACCCACATAGCAGGAAAAATGGTCTCTAGTGGCCATGATTTGTTTAATTTACAGAGCACATGGTGGAGCTAGGATACAGAGATCTCTGGAGAGGAAAAATGTGGGAAAATTACCTCTGAAACCTGCTAGGGAGCAAAAGGAATTTTTTTTGTGGGGTTTTTTTTTTTGAGCAAACAATATGTTTTTCTAATGGATATGTGGGGACTTTGAGGCCTCAGGAGTGCATAAGGACTCCTGGAAGGCTATATATGGCCTGTGGGCCACATGTTGCCTTCACCTGTGCTAGATTTCTGTGTTGCCTAGAGTTTATAATTTAAAAATGGTGGTAGTCAAAGCACAGCTCTAGAAGATTCCTCTTTCAAGATGAAGGCCTTGAGGCATCCTTCAGATGTGCTAGTGTTACAAGAAGGAATTCTAGCCTTTCTGTGGGAGCTTCCAGGAAAGGGTCTTGTCATATAATAAGTCTGCCTCACTAGGTAATGAGATGGGGCCTGTGATACTGCTTCATATTTGTAACCCTGCATAATTTCTTTTTATTCTTCCCCCCCTCCTCCGCAAAACCCCCACAAAAACAAAATAGAAAAATCTGTTAAGATGTGGGAGGAAATAGCATATCTTTTGACTGGTAGTGCCAGGAACCCTCCATTTGAAAATCTCTTGTCAGGCTCTGTCTGCCAAAAGGTAAGAATAACCTTTTCCTGCTTCCAAGGAAGTTGCCTTATACCAGGTCAGCCTGTTTCTCCTGCTGACTCGGTGCTGTCTAACCTGAATGGCTGGGGCTCCTCAGATTCTCAGGAAGACAGAGAACTTTCCTGTCACCTGCTATCTGCTACATTTAACCGGAGACGCTAAGGACACAGGTCTTCTGCATGCAAGACATGTGCTTTTTACTGAACTGGGGTCCTCATACTAGCCAGATATGATGATAGGGAAAGATGTGGATGCCAGGAGAAGGTGCTCCAGTGCTAGGGTGATAGAAGAGAGCTGCCCCATGATAACCTGGATATTTGGACCATACCTTTAAAATCACAAGAAACCAAGATTTAGATCTGATTTTCTTCTCTTGCCTTTCCTCTTGCTGTTCTCCACACCATACCAAAAACTGCTCTGGACAGTGTCCCCGCACTCTGGAACAGGTCTTGGGATTGTGGGCTAGGGCTGTGACAGGTGGAGCATCACTCTCTACCTCACTGGTGCAGGATTGTTAGGAGTTTATTACACCCCTACAGACAGAGTAGAACATATTCTCCAGCCACTTTGCTTTCACATCATGTTTTCTTCACCCCACCGCACCCCCAGTTGCTGTATACTAGGGAGCACAGGAAGTAGACAGAAAGCAAGACTGGGAAATGTAAATGGTGAGAAGAAACCAAAGCCTGAAAGGTGACTATGCTGAACCCACCCAGAACTGAACGGTGTGGGGAATGGTTTTCTGTGTCCCTAGATGAGTAGTGTTAAGATAAGAGGGTCCCAGAGATTGGCAAGTTTCCTTTTGTTGGTGAAATGTTCCATCAAGTTGCTTCTGATTCATTGTGACCCTATGAATTAATGATCTCCAGAAGGTCCTATCATTAACAGTCCTGCAAACTCAGTGCTGTTGTTCCTTGTACTGAACCAATGCATCCCATGTTTGGTTTTCCTATTTACTTATTGCCTTCCACTTTTTGTACCATTATTGTCTTTTCCAGTGATATAGCCAAAGTAAAATAGCTACTGTTTAGTCATTTTGTTTCTAAAGAGAATGCAGGCTTGATTTGATGTGGAGCCCATTTATTTGTCTCTTTTGGTGGTCTGTTGTATCCTGTAAAGCTCTCCTGCAACATTTATAATAAGAGGGTGGCTACATTACAATTTATCCCCCGTTTTATACCCCTATTTTCAGGCTCAATCTGTTTTGTGGCAACTACATGACATAAACCTGATAGCGAAACAGTGTGACCTTTTTCCAATTGCCCCTTTTTGGATCATTGGCAGGGGCGAGTGGGTTTTTTCCTTCCTTTTTGGTGCATATCATTTCATTTTGGTTTCTGACATGGGCGATTCCCAGTATCAAACCAAAGCAGCAGTAGGGGGTGTGCTGTAGAGTGATGTTTATGGTGACATTTTGAGGTGGTTTTGACATGGCATGGCAGTGGGAACTCCCCTTGTCCTCTTGGTTGTCTCTTTTCTGAAATATTCTGAAATATATATATATTTTTTTTAAAACATTTTTGGCTAATTCAGTTCAGTGCTATGCCACTGTATCACATCGTACAAGAAGGCACCTTGTTTCAATCAGGTAAGGAGAAGGACTCCTTCCAGAAATTCCCAGTGGTGGGGAGATGGGAGTTAAAGAGCTGTCAGTTTCGGTGGACTAACCTACTTTAAGCATCTTACCCTGTTTTCCCGAAAATAAGACCTAACCTGAAAATAAGCCCTAGTATGATTTTTCAGGATGCTCATAATATAAGCCCTACCACAAAAAGAAGCCCTAGTTAAGTGAAGCCCTGCCCTCCACCATTGTGCAGCCACCAGAAGATGATATGACTGTAAAATAAAACATCCCCTGAAAATAAACCCTAATGTGTTTTTTGGAGCAAAAATTAATCTAAGACCTTGTCTTAGTTTTGGGGAAACATGGTACAGTGTGCCCAGTTGTTTTATATTTTTTTCCCTTAGCAGCATGGCGCTCTCAGCAGTTGAATAGAATTCTGTTGCTTGGTCTTTTGCCTCATTTCTGACCCCTGAGCCAAATTCTCTGATGATTTCTGGTTCTGGTTCATATCCTACTATTGTGTTCCAGTCACCACTGATTATTCACAGATCATTTTTTTGGTGTGTTATTATTTAGTCAAACTTTGCATTATACCCCCCAACCTCTTGTATTATGTCTCATCTCATTGTCAGTAACATGCTATTTTTTCTGAGTTCATCATATTAGTAAAACACTGTAATGATCTGACTGAATATGTCATATTCTAGCCCATGTTTGTCCACTCAAAGTACTACAATGTTCAAACATTCCATTGTTTTTATGCACTTATCTTGATTCATACCTCGAACATTCCATGTAACAATTATGTTTTGTACAGCATCAGATTTTCCATTTGCCTCTGTGCATATCAACAACTAGACATCTTTTGGCCTTGAATCTAGTTGCTTTATTAACTATTGCAATACTTGTACCCAATATTTGTTGTTCCTTGGTAGCTTAGTGCCCTCCAATATGGGAAACTCATTTCCCAGCACCATCTCTTGTTAATTATATTTTAATTGCATTTCAATTATTTTGCCCTTTTTTTTATTTTAAAAGTTGTAAGCCACCCAGAGTCCTTAGGGTAGTGTGGGCAGCATATAAGTTAAATGAATGAATGAATGAATGAATGACTGACTGACTGACTGAATGAATGAATGAATGAATGAATGAACGAACGAACAAACAAATAAATAAATAATTTTGGATGGTCTCATCATAGGATTTGTAAACTATACAATATTCAGAATTGGGTTATCCTTGCTTTCTTCTGCACAGTACTAACAAGGGTTAGCTTAGGTTTCACTGCCCTTGGCTATGAAAGATCCTCCACCAGTGTCACCTTTCACTACTGCTGCCATCTAGTAGTTACTCTTTGGGAATTTCTCTGCCCAGTGCAACTAGTGATTACCTTCTGCTTATATGACCATTGATTCTGAAGACATAGATGCACCTTAGTCTAGTGTCCTAGCTTTGATCATTCCTCCTTGGGTGATTCTGTTAGGAGTCTAGACTCATAATGGAGTCTGGCCTCCTAATGCTATTGATTTAAGCCTTCCTAACATACCCAAGCCCCTTTACCATATCAAAGTATGCCATCAAGTCACTTCCAACTTATTTAATTCATACTTAAAGTGGCCCCATTTAACTATGTTCTGGCTTTTTATCATTTCCATTCTTGCCAATTAATCTGTATGTTATATGTTTATCTTTTACAGGGGCATTCCTTGTTCCTTATTTCATCATGTTAGCAATATGTGGGATCCCTATTTTCTTCATGGAGCTATCACTGGGCCAGTTCTCAAGTTTGGGGCCTCTTGCTGTTTGGAAGATAAGCCCACTCTTTAAAGGTGTGTGCATGCATGTGTGTGAGAGAGAGAGAAAGAGAGAGAGAGAGAGTGGTAGGATCCTGTACATCATCCTGGGAGAGAATGGACATCATGAAAAAATAATTAAGTAAAGCACAGGATGAGAAGTATAGTGGACTATTAACAAGACCCATTTTTATACAGTTAATTACATTCTAGTTACCTTTACAGTGATCCTGCGCATCATCCTGGGGAGGGGAGAATGGACATCATGCAAAACAACTAAGTAAAGCACAGGGTGAGAAGTATAGTGGACCATTAACAAGACCCATTTTTATAGAGTTAATTACATTCTAGTTACCTTTACAGTTCAGAATGAACTCTTTGGTTTCCACTTTCTGATTAACTAAAACTATTACTGTATATTATACTTTAAAAGTATTCTGAATACTGGAAGCTGATAGCCTGTGGTATCCATGGCTTTTCTCCAATCCACTCAATTGTCAGCTTAATATCCACAAGTGAGTAAGGGGCAGCAGGGCATGTTCATCCTGGGACATGTGATATTCCTCCTCTTCCATTAAATATATTCCATATATTACATCAGTATGGTTATCCCTCATTAAGTTACAACTGTATGTGCTGTAGTTACACTTCCATTATTAGAAAAAGGAATGAATTAATTTAACTAGTTTTTTGTATCTAGTTACTTCCAAGCCTTGCAGTGGATGCATACTGTCTTATGTGGATGGATCCATATTAGTACTAATATGCCTGGTGTTTTCACATAGCTCTCATTTTTTAAAATTAGTTGCCCGCAAAATGCACCTGAAAGGCTGATGATAATACATATAAGAATTCAGATTAAAATGGCTAGATGGGAATGAATGTTTGATTATGTAACATACAATCAATAAAACTGACACTTTTCTGCTTGAATGGCCAAGTGCCACTGCCAGGTATATGGCAGCATTGCCTCAGATTTCCTGGCACTGAAATCAGCAGAAGAATTCCATAGACTAGCAGTATCCCACAGAGGTTCTTGATCCTTATGCTGTTGCCATTACATTGATCTCCATCATTTCTGCTCTTCTTTAGGTATTGGCATGGCCACCATTCTCATTGTCTCCTTGGTGGCCATTTACTATAACATGATCATTGCCTATGTTCTCTTCTACCTCTTTGCTTCGCTGACGAAGAACTTGCCCTGGCAGTATTGTGGCAACTGGTGGAACACAGATCTGTGCCTGGACCACCATGTCATGCGCACAGGGAATGGTGCTGTCCCTCTCAACACCTCTAATACTGTCAGCCCAAGTGAGGAATACTGGACGTAAGTAAGATAGAGAAGATTAATTTTAATAAAAATGAGCAGTGAAATGACATACCGGTTTTCCAAAACAGAGCTAATGGACACTTACATGCTCTAGATGTTGTAACTGGTGGCTCTGTAGCACAGATTTATACAGTACTGTGAACTGGATGTATGGGGACAAATATACGGATCTGTTGTGCCAGTGATTGTATGTATGGGCTGTTTCTCCTGGTGCCCTTATTAGGAGAACTGGGAATGATGAAAGCCAGACTGAGAGCTCAGCTTCACAGGTGATTTAAATTGGGATCTGGTTTGGTTTTTTAAGAATCGATATAATGCCACATGTTTTTTGTATTGATGTGTGCATTGTCATGGCAACTGCACCCCTTATGTATTACTTTATGTTGTAAGTAAGTAAACAGGGAGGGGGAGAGTTCCTCAGCCTTTCACTTGGTAGAGGCTTCTCTCAGGCCAGGGGAGGATGCTGGCCACCCTCTGTTCTCCAATATCCAGGAGCTCCATGGAACCAAGAAGAGGGCAGAGTCTATGTATCGGCAAGGGGGATTTTCTCGGACGTGGTTGGGAGAGCAAGAATCGTGAGTTTTAGTGCAGTGGCAGGGTTGACAGAAAATGCTGAGCAGAGAATGGTACATTTCCAGCCCAATATAAAAAGATTAAGGCATTAATCATTTTGTTTTCTATTGGGAGTCTGGACTCACAGGATCCAGGAGCTAAATCGGTCCCTCCCCACCCACAGAACCCTCATACAATGTTCTGAAGGGATATTCTGGAGGTTCCAAAGAGAAGCGTTGCTGCCACAGAAGATACTATGAGTAACGATCTTCCTTTAAAACACGTTGCAAGGTCTTTTTATCACCTGTATCCCTCCAGAAAGGTGTTTTACAGAACTAGGGCTGAACCTACAGACACATCTCTTTTTTTGTTGGTTGTTTTGGGGTGATACAGCTCCTGGAGAGCCAGAAAATTCAACCCTGAGAACCTCTGTTTTAAATAAATCAGAGTGCCTTATTGTCAAATATCTTAGGGTGAAAGCCAAAGGTCAACTTCCCACACTATGACTATTCAAATGTGTGTTTCACCGTGTGCACAACAGGATGGGTGTACACATGACAACATGAAGATGAGAACATAAAGTGATGGAGTAGAAGAAATGAATGTATAAAGCAGCTCTTCCATCTATTGTAAATGTTACAAATCCCCTGAAGGCAAAGCACATCTGTATATAATCTTTCCCCACTCAAAACTTTGTTTAGATCCACCTATGCATTAATTTCACTGAATGCACCCATGCTGGGGAGCTATGTTTGGCTGTGGCTTCCAAGCATACCTAAACGTCACGTGTATGCACAGAGAAAATGATGTTTTCGTAATGACAATTTACCGGTATTCGTGTTTTTTTGTTATGCTGTTCATGGACGACATTCCTAATGATCCGAAGCTGTCTTGAGATGTCTAATCACAATTTAGATCATTTTTGCTAAAACCTTCAGTTGTATTGGCAGAGGAATGATGGACCTTGATATTTGTGGTTTCCTTCTGTCCTAGTCGTTATGTCCTGCACATCCAAGAGAGCTCAGGGATTGGAGATCCGGGGGCAATTCGCTGGAATCTGTGCCTATGCCTCCTCCTTGCCTGGGTCATTGTGTACCTCTGCATCCTCAAGGGAGTAAAATCCTCTGGCAAGGTAAGGGACCAATTTGTCATAGGCAACAGTATGTTTCAAGATCTGTTGTTTCTGGAATCATGAGCCTCTTTGTCTTAATGTCATAGCTAGGATGGGAGCAAAATTATACCATCTGGGTAATCTAGGGCAAAACAGAAATGATAAGGCCACCTTATCAGGGCAAACTTCCTCATGAAGTTTAAGTCAATTCATGCAGATTTGGACACTAACACTTCCAAATAGTCATCTCAGAATTAATCATATAGTTTTTCATTAACAATCTAATGGAATCATTCAGATCTTTAGATAAATTGGTATGATGGAAGGAAAGGAGAATCCCATGCCAGGGTCCAGGATGGGAAAATGCATTCACACCTGATCCATGTCCTGTTCTCTGACATAGCAGACACATGTTTAGCAGACATAAAGTATATCACAGAAGTGAGTACTGTTGTTGTTTAGTCGTTAAGTCGTGTCTAACTCTTTGTGACCCCATAGACCAGAGTATGCCAGGCCCTCCTGTTTTCCACTGCCTCCCAGAGTTCGGTCAATTTCATGTTGGTAGCTTCAATGACACTGTCCAACCATATCCTCTGTCGTCCACTTCTCCTCTTGCCTTCACATTTCCCCAACATCAGAGTCTTTTCCTTTACTGTGTTTAGGAAAATCTCTGCACATGTCTAGAGATGCATTGCTGTCATATGCTTAGTGAATACAATTTGATAGTGCATGTGACAAAGGTGTCAGCATTATAAATTAATCTCAAGAAAAGCAAGAGTCAGTAGTGTTATAAGGCTGCAAAGGTTGAGGGGCTTGTGTGTGTTTAACCTACAGAAGTACAAGGGGAAACATTATACCACTGCTTGAGTACCTGAAGGGTTCTCGCTGCCATGCAGAAGAAAGCAAAAAGTTGTCCATTGCCTTCCCAGAACTGGATGTAATGGACTTCACTTACAGGAGATGAATTTTAATTGTTAGGATAAACTTCGTGACAACAAGAGCAACCGGGAAATGAAGTGCAAGGCTGGTTGGGTTTCCTTTGTTGATTGTCTCCAAACAGAAGTCAAAAGACCATCTTTTTGGCATATTCTAGCTCTGGATAGCTAAATGCTCTACAAGGGTTCCTTCATCTCCATGATTCTATATGAAGATGTCTACTTGAACTGTGTCATCTGCATAACAGCCCATATTGCTCATAGAAGAGCTCTCTGCTGTCATCCTGTACATAATAACCTTTCCACAAGTGACAAAGTGGGCTGTTGTCCACAAAAGCTTATGCCAAATAAAGCTTGTTAATCTTTATGATGCCTCAAAGGTATAAGGCCCTCTGTTGTCTTGACTGCAAAAGATGAACTGGACAATAATCTTTGACACTTGTTGATATTTTTATGAATACTGAAAGAACCACTGCAGACTCAATGCAATGCCTGTGTCCCCTCACAGGTTGTGTATTTCACTGCTACATTTCCTTACCTCATTTTAATCATGCTCCTCATTCGCGGTGTGACACTGGAAGGAGCCTGGTTAGGAATCAAGTTCTATCTCACACCCCAGTTTGACCTCCTGCTGTCTCCCAAGGTGAGGTTCGTGCCCTTTTCGTTCCCTGTTAAGTGGATCTTAATTACATGCAGTCCTTTTGATTGCCACAGGCAAACGGTCATGGTCGCCAAGGCAGATGGGTGTGCAGCAGGGGATTCCTTCAGCTTGGCAGGTGGATGAGAAAAAGGGCTGCATTTGAGAAGAATGTTTATAGGTCAAACCAGTTCTAATTGGCCCCCGTGGATGTTCTTACTGGCTGAGCCATCCTTGCCAAAAAGAGAAAGGTGAAGCCCTTGCAAAACTGAAGGCGGGGTGATTACCTTTGTGAGGTTTTTTGGAGCAGCAGCTGGGGTCCTCTTGGCATAGAAAGGCCAGTATGAATCACCAATCCTGACATTCTTAGATCTATTAAATTAAAGTGCTCTAGGTGCTTTCTTATTCCCCCTCAGGTAAATATCCACTGATAAATGCCTCCTGCCATGCACATTCTCCTTATAGAGGGAAGCATGTAACATCCCCCTGTATAGAAGTGTGAAACAGGCAAGCACAATGTAACTCATGCTCTCTTTTTTGCTTTTTCCTCTGGGCACAAGAGCCTTGAGCTTACAGTGTTCTCTGCCAGGAAGTTCAACATTGTCCTTTTCTACTTTGGCTTGAATCAGGGCGCTTGGAAAAGTTACTAGGCCTATGCTCTTTAGAAAAACATTTTAAGCTTCAATGAAAAGCCTCTGTTGTGATGGAGATTGATAGATGTCTTGTTTTCCACCTCCATTTCAGGTCTGGATTGAAGCAGCTTTGCAAATCTTTTACTCTCTTGGGGTAGGATTTGGCGGACTGCTCACCTTTGCATCGTATAACACCTTCCATCAGAATATTTATAGGTACTTGTTTTCAGTGACATGTCGTAGAGACTAGAGGATTAGAGAGAGAGGGTTACTGATCTGTGTTCTTAGCAAGGCTCCCCTGCCTCTCATGGAAAATAATTGACCACAGAGAATACCAAATGGAAACATATTAGCTTTTTAAGAGAATCATGGGGGAGGGGGTTGATAAGAAAAAGAAGACAAAATTTGACTGCTAAAAATCAAGTAGGAACACACACTTTGTAAAACAAGTAAGAATACAGACTTTGCAGAAAGAAAGGAAGGACAAAAGGAATGACAGCAGGCTAAGGGAGGCTAGAACTTCTTTGCTCACAAGAAGAATAATCAGTGCACATCCACCTCCTGTTCTGTAATTTCTCCTTAGCTTAGACCTCTGATACAGGGTCACACGAGTGGCAAGGAAATTGCTCCTGTAAAAATAGTGTATTTCGCTCAAAAATGCTGACATGGAAAATGCTAGCAGCTAGCATCCCGCCCCCGTGTAGTGGTAGGCATGATATACTTTGTTTAGGAAAATCCAGTTTTTCATCTCTTTATATTAGGAATTACAGCTAAGACAGGAACACCATCTTAATAGATGGCACAGTTTTGGATCATTCCTTACCTTCTCATGCCTCCCAAATATGTCTGGCAGCTAGGGTAGAATCTCTAGGTTCTCAGATGGCCAGTGTTCCACCTGCCAGGGACTCCTGACTGAATTCCTGTATGTTATTATTCTTTAGGGATACCTTTATAGTCACTGTGGGCAACGCTGTCACCAGTATCTTGGCTGGCTTTGCCATCTTCTCCGTTTTGGGCTACATGTCCCAGGAACTTGATGTCCCTGTTCAAGAAGTAGCCAAAGCAGGTAAAGACTCCTCCTTTTAGTTTGTTGTGAAAGTGTCTCTCTCTCTCTGTGTCTGTTTGTGAATGCTCATGTGGAAAAGCAAACATACAGTATTTTGTTCTCCATGGATTGTATTTCTGAGGTTTGAGCTGACAGATCAAAGTACTAGGATGTTTTGATATGCAGGAATGTGAAATCCACCTGCTGCCACAATATATTGTCATGCGTTATCTCTCTTGCAATGCAATGTACGTTGGATTGTTTTGAAATGGGCAGATACTAGCTTTACCAGAGACCTGCTTCTGGCGGAGATGAAACGTTCTAAAACTGGCTATGGATATGCACCAACATAGCTGCCTTCCTGTTGATACTTACTTTGAAAGCATGGCTGAAACACGCGCCCGGACAAGCATCTTACTATGCCCCTAAATTTGCTGATGTTTCTAGAAGAAAACATGCAACATCGGACTATGGCAGTCTCTTCCCACAATATTCAGTTGCAGTTCCCCTTCTCCCAGTATGCGTTTTGGAGACGTTGAGTGCAGGCATTCAAATGACGGGCTGCAGTGGTGGCCTCTGTTTCTTTTCACTGGTGTTAGGCTTCAGGATCACCAATGGCTTGTCTGAGTTAACCAAGCAACTGGCTAAAAGGGACTCTCCCTCCTGTTTAGGCAGCAGGGTAGTAGTTTGTTTAAATGGCAATACATTGGGGAACAGAAAGAGGACTAATAAACCATTTAAGATCTAGGTATAACTAGAACTTATGCTCCTCATGACTACAAAGGAGGCACCCTCCCCAAACTCGGGGATGAGGCATTTCCCTTCCCCAATCCATGACCTGCCCTTGAACAGCCCCCATACAACCTCAGCGTTTTCTGGCATCCCGGGTAGAATTAGATGTTACTGAGGAGGTTGAGGCAGATTTGCTGACCAATGGCAGGCTAAACTCCCTGGCTGGAGGAAAAACCTCTGCCATTCCTTGTGGGCCCTCTGTGGAGGGCAGTGCCAGGAGCATCAAGTAGCCAGCACTACTCTCCAGAGAGGGCAAGGTTCAAGCACACGGGGTTTCCTCAGAGATTGCCTGGAGGAGGCTTTTCAGTATAGTATCAATGGCCCTCTCAGTGGAGAAGGATGTTAAGGAAGGGTCTTCTTTCCTTTCAAATGGGCATATACTGTATCTTGTCCATTCTGGGAATCTCTTTACCTTTGCATGCTAGTTCTAGGCTATTTTTTGTTATTTTTATATCTCCTCTGACATCTTTCACTTAGTGCCTCTCCAGACGAGTATACAAATCATTATCTGGATCACTTTTTATGTGCTTGAATGTGAATTGTATCAAATTATGGTGTCCACACCTGTTCCAACTTGGAGTGCTCCATCCTGCCCCTTTTTTAGAGCCTTCTCGCTCCTTTCTGGCACTGCACTGGGACTTCTGGTTTTGGGGCACAATTCAGTGTGCTCCAAATTATTCGTCATGTAGCCTGTGTGTAATCCACACCAAGGTGGGCAGTGTTATCTGAGGTGACAACCATGTGACATAACAGATGGTTTGTGATATTTTAATGGACAATGAGACCCTCCCTCTTATTTTCATTTTCTCTACTGTATTTTCAGAACTATTCTCCTATTGATGCAATGCTATTCTAGATAAATGAGATACATTTATGGTATTATGTGTACTGTGGTAGATACATGCATTGCTGTTTCACTATGTCACTTACAGGCATACCTTGGTTTATAAATTTAACGTGTTCTCCAGGACATTACGTAATGTGAAAAATTCATAAACCAAAACGTGGTTTGCCATAGCAACAGGGGTGGCTCTATAAACCTCCAGGCACAATGCATTGTGGGGAAACTTGTTTCATACAACGAAAAAAAAAATCATAAACCAAGGCATTATTTTCAATGGATTTCTATTCGTACACTGAAAATTACATTAACCGAGGCATTCGTAAACCGAGATACTACTGTATTTTGTTTAACAACAAAACAAAGTCACTGCAGTCTGCTGAACGACAGCCATGGGAAAAGGTGGGTCAGCTCTTATCCCCAAATTCATTGACAGATGACAACATATCTCCTCCCCCATAAAGGAGAGCAGACCCAGCAGAATTTTCCCCAATCTTCACCTTGCTCCTAAAACTGCTTGCCACACCACTGCTATCATCTGTGACTGTTGCTGTAGTCTCCTTACTTGTGGGTTAACCGGGTAAACCTTGCACATGCATAAACCAGTGATCCAAAGACCTGTCTGGACCCTTCCCATGGGAGAATAAACAGAGGCTGAAGATAAGAACCCTTTATGCGTGAACCAAAATACTCCAAATTCACCTGTCTAGACAGGACCTCAGTTGCCCTGTTGTCTACACACCTATGAAATCTGGCTCCTCATTTATTCTACCCTGTCTGCAACTCCGTCATCTCAGTCATGATGCTTTTCATTCTTTGCCTGTCTTCCAGGTCCAGGCTTGGCATTTGTGGTGTACCCCCAAGCCATGACCATGCTTCCACTTTCTCCTTTCTGGTCTTTCCTTTTTTTCTTCATGCTGTTGACTCTTGGTCTGGACAGTCAGGTAAGGACATCGTCTACCTTGAGGGAGCAACTAAGGGATATGCTTTCAACCGTCTTTATGGCTTTACAAGAGCATCTGTTTTCATCTGTGTACAGTTTGCCTTTCTAGAGACCATTGTTACCGCCGTGACAGATGAGTTTCCATATTACCTGCGGCCAAAGAAGGCTTTCTTTTCAGGCGTAGTTTGTGTCATAATGTTCTTAATGGGACTCATTCTCACAACAGAGGTAAGCAGAGCAGACCATCAAACACTACAACAAGTGGAGGGTTTTTTTGTTTGTCATTTTGGTAAGGATTTGCAAAGGAGAGCTATGTTCAGATAAAGAATCAAAAAAGGAAGAACTGTATAGGCCATCTTAGCTTCCATCATCAACTACCTGGAGCAAACCAAGTGATTACATGAAGAACATAACAAAGTAGAGAACAGATTACTGACTTTCCTAGCTAAACCAAGTGACCTGTTTGTATTGATAATTTACTATGGCTAGTCAATGCCTGAGATTTAAAATCTAAGATTTAAAATGGGTGGAATGAATCACAGTGGCTTAGTTTACAAATAACAGTAAGCTATTTTAGAGTTTGTTGCATTCTGACTTGGGTTTGTTGTTGTTTTGCACCCATCCCAGCAAATAAAACATGCTTTCTTAGTCAGATCCAGGTTATGATTGAGAACTATGGTTGTCTTATGACGTCTGGCTTATTTTTAAACATGGGTTGTTCATATCTTTGAACCTTGAGAGTCAAGTTATTCCTGGCTTGTTTTTCTCGTTGTCAGCCCTGAAACAGGTGTTGGCATAAGCAGGAGAGAAACAAAGCAGAATCAGGAGAAACAAATTGTGGTTTGTTTGATACTCTATGAGATAATTGGAGACTAAAATATCAACTACATAAACTTAGCATGACATGAGAATGCAGTCGTTGTTTCATGAGCCTGTATGGATAAGGTCATGAATTTATTAGGTTGATTGCTTCTAACAAATGACTACAGCATCCAGCCCTTACGAATATTTAGGTGATTAAACTTGGCAAAACAGGATATGTTCACTAATAAGGGCATGTTATGTTCCTCTGCTTGGTATTTCTGTATTATGGGAAGTAGCTTTGGCCATTTATTTCTTCTTTCCAGGGTGGGATGTATTGGCTGGTGCTCCTGGATGACTACAGTGCTGGATTTGGACTTATGGTGATAGTCATTGCCACCTGTCTCGTAGTGACTCGTGTCTATGGTAATGAGACAGATATGGAAAGTATTAGAAATTCAATGTATTCGCCAAGGCTTTCATGGCCGGGATCTAATGGTTGTTGTGGGTTTTTCGGGCTCTTTGGCCGTGTGCTGAAGAACACGGCCAACCTTCAGAACACGGCCAAAGAGCCCGAAAAACCCACAACAACCATTAGATCCCGGCCATGAAAGCCTTGGCGAATACATTGAATTTCTAATACTTTCCATATCTGTCTCATTACTACACAAATGGATAGTGTGGCAGAGTGGTTAGCATGTTGGAGCAGGAAAATCCCAGTACTAGTCTCCCTGAGCCACTTATTGGGTGACCTTAGGCCAGTCAATCTGATCTACCTCATATGTTGTTGTAAGGGTAGAGTAAGGAGGAAGAAAACTTTGAATGCCACTTAGTTTGAAATCCCTGGAGGAAAGCAGAGATATAAATGTAATGATGCTAGTACTTATGCTAACAAAGATGAACACTAATATTAATATGCTGTAATTTCTAGGGTAAATGGCTCAAAAACCCCTGAAAGTTGTAGCAAAAAGTAACTTTTTCAAGTTCTGCTGAAATCTATGAGAGTAGTTTTTAACTGCAATTTTGTATGCTGATTTAAAGGCAAAGAACCTGTTATTTGCATTCTGTGGTCAGACGTAGGCTTGCCCTGCTTGAAAAATTGAGATTACAAATTGTGCTTGTTGGATTGGGAGAGTCACCTTGAGGTAATCTTCGGCTATCGTCTTATGCACAGTTCATTGATTGTGAGCTCCACTGAATACCATGGGATTTATTTCACAGTAACCATGTTTAGGATTATACCACGGTGGAGACACTGTCCCCTTTTTCCCCATCTCCTTCTGTTTTCTTTAGGCTTGAAGAGATTTTGCCGGGATATTCAGATGATGCTGGGATTCAAACCAGGGATATACTTCAAAGCCTGTTGGTTGTTCCTGTCCCCGGTAACCATGATGGTAATGATCCTAGTTCTGAAGTGTGTTTCTGGGTCTTTTTGTGGACTTTTTTTGTCTTCTGGCAGGGACTTCTTATCCTAGTCCCA